TTTGTGTGTACGGTCATTGTTGAAAAACATGCTACAGTTGTGATGATACTGAGATTGTAAATAGATACCAGCATTAGGAGAAATAAAGAGCAAAGGATTGTCATTTCTCAACAAAATGGTGGTGCTAATTTAAATTAACAGAAAGGTGTAGCCAGCAGTGATGGTTGCACAGTGCTCTGTGATAAAGGTCGCCAAGTGGTCGATATTCGTGGCGAGAAGGAAGGGGGAAAGGTGGTGAGTCACCGAAGACAGGCGCAATGAGGAGAAAAGACCGCTGGCTTAGTTGCCCTCGGAGCAGGCAACAGCAGGCACCATCATCAGCTGCAGACGATGGTGCCTGCTGCAGATGCATCCGCCAGAGGCAAACAAGTCGCCCATCATCGTTGGCTGCCACTGCCTGCGACTGAGGTTTGCAGAGATTGCAATGCTGTACAATCATAAGAAAAAGCTCAGGGTGAGTGTGTAATTCAACCAGTGGCTACAAATGCGACAATGTGTTTGCAAGAATTTACTCAATGAAATACTTATGTAAGAATTGTATTGCACTACATTCTGGCTCCTTAAAAAATATTTTTAAAAATTTATTTTTTGTTTTACAAAAATCATTCATGACCCCTATTTGTTTTTAGAAAAACTGCACTGCTAATTGAAATTATATTGCTAAAAAAATTGTCAGCATAACTTGGGCACATTAAGCAAACAGTAGTACAAAGGAATGGTTAAGAGAAAAAGGCCATCGACCTAATAATGGGCAAGCACGAACAAGAGTGCCATTGCTTCTTAGAGCAAGTCATAAAAGAATGCAGTTGAGAGCTGGCAAACCAGCAGATGCAAGAGGATCTCAGGGGACGCGTGAAAATGGTGAATAGTAGTTAGTGCAGTGGTACTGAGCAACCCAAAAAGGGCGCCAGGCAGTGTCTGCGAAACGGTGAAGGGCAAGGAAAGTGCGACCCAGACAGATATAGCTGCTGCCTCCAGACGGCTCGACCTCCAGACTAACGCAATTGAACTGTTTGGCGCGAGCAAATCTGGAGCAGTCTGGTTAAGCGAGAGAAGAAAAGAGACGCAAAGTATGTAAAACAATATGAACAGCTAATGCATTGTAGCCAACTGCCTTGTCTGCCAAGTGTAGCAAAATGAAGCTCTGATAAAGTTTTGCTGATGCACCTCAATTTGACAGAAATGATGCTTTATGCGACAAACGGGTGGGCGCCAAATAAAAACTATCAAAAGATTGCAATAGTTTTATTTGAAAATTCTATTAAAAAGATTATCAAACAAATATTAATGAAAATGACATTGTCGTAAATAAAAATTATCAGCGTTTGGACAACTCTTCACAAGCAAGAAATATTCAAATTTGTTTTTGCAAAGTAATTTTAGCACCAACGACTTATAGTTGTTATAAACTTGAGCTTGCTGGTAGTAAGAAGCAATTTTAAAACAATATCCAATATTGAATTTTCAAAATTAAGATATTTAACTAGTTTTTCCCTAAACACTAATTAGTCAAACACATTGCGCGCCTGTTTTAAAAAGTGCAAAAGTTTTAATATTTATTAGAGTAATTTTGTAAAAGTTTCCAAACATTGTTTTTTATGTAACTGAAACAAAGCATTATTAAAATTTGACATTGTTTTAATTAATGTAATTAGGGCCAACTTAATACAATAACTTTTCTCAATTAAAAAGTTTTAAAAATTGTTTTAAAAAACTTAGCTTTTATTTAAAAAATTTTTTTTGAAAAAACAAAAGTTTACAGAAATTAAAAATGAAATTGTTGATAATTAAATCAAAATCAAATCTTTGTCATGAATCAAACATTGTTTAGATACACTAAAAATGGACCAACTAAAAAAATAGTTTAAAGTGCACATTGCTGCAATTTTGCGTCGACCCAACATTGTTGAGTAGAATTTGTGAGTTGTTTTCAAAAACACTAAAGTAACTAGAGATTAAACAAGATTTAATTTGCGTGAGTGTGTAAAACATTTTAATTAGTATAGAAAAATGAAAGAAGCAACCAGACCGTGCAACTCAATTGCTGGTTCATTCATAAAAGCTTGCTAAAATCAAATTAAAGTGGCCTGCTTGTTTAAAAGGTTTGTTTTCAATTGAAAATGTTTGGCAGTGTTTTGTTATCAGGATGTTTCTAAATGACACAACTATTTTTTCAATTGTATAGTTTTGCAAAACAACAAACAAAAATGTCAATTTTTATTTGGTACAGTGAAGTTTTACTGCTCCTCATAACCCTTTTACTTTATAACAAACACGTTCAAATGCAAATTAATGTTAAAAGTATATTAGTATGAAAAGAACCCAAATATTAACAAAAAAGCATTTTATTAAGGCAGCACTATAAGTGCAGTAATCTAGCACTGAAAATTTTAAAACTACATTTAGTTCATTTGTGCACAATTTTCATTGGGTTAAAAGGTTGGCAGAATTAAATTTGTCCTAGTAATTTGACACACGACGTGACAATACTAAAAGTTAGCAGCTCTGCTATCATGTTGAAGGAAAAAGCTTACCAATCATATTGAAATTAATGATAGTTAATGCTGAGCAATGTTCTTTGTAAAAAGAATCAAACTATTTTTATATAAGTTGTTAACTGCAATCAAAATAAATTTTTGTGGTAATTTCTGTCATTGCAGTTAGTCACTGCATTTAAACAATATTTTTAATAATTTTTGTTATTTAATTAAAAACTTCATTTTACAAATAAAGAACCAAGTTGTGCAAACAAAAAAAAGTTTACAAATAACAAGTTTTGATTTAGTAAAGTATGTTGCAAAGTAAAAAACCAAACAACTTTTTTTCAATTTTTAACACTTATAAGTGCAATTATGCTGTTAAAAACCCAAAATGTTCTGTTATGTAGAGCAGATTAAAATATTGCACCAAAATAATTAATTGATACTGCACGTTATAACAATGCTCACTAATGAACACTAAATAAATATTACACATTTCATTGCAAGTGACAATTTGTGAAAATGGAAAATCCACAAATGAGTAAATCAATTTTGGTCTTGAATATATTAATTTTAACTTAATTTACAATTCACAATCAAAAATAAACAAAACAGCAAAAAACAACTAATAATTCATTAAGTTTTAGGTTTAAAACTCAATTGTTTTTAACTTTGCGTTTAAATTCACAATTGAAAAACTCATTTTCTTTTGAATACTTGCAAAACAATCAAATCTTAAAGGTCAAAGGTCATCAAGAGAAACAATTTAAATTGGTAGGTAGCTTAATGAGATTCAATTGAAGTATGTTACTGTACAGAGTAAGAAAACTACTTTATTTCTTTAATTCAAAGGGAGTTTAAAGTTAAAAAACAATTGTTTCGCATTCAATTAGCTTTCCACAAAAAGATAAACCTCAAAATAATTCCTCCTGTCTAATTAGAGGTAATTAAGATATTAAACAAACGGCAACACTGAAAGTTCTAATCTGATAATGCTACGCTTGAATAACGGTAGCGTAAATCAAATGGCAATTGTGGGGAAAAAAGGAAAAAGGTGACAAGAAGATAAGTGAATGAAGCTAGCATAGTGTTAAGTTGCAGTAAGCACATTGAAAAATGCAATGACAAACACGAATTACTGAGAATTAATAATGCCAACAGNAGCTAGCATAGTGTTAAGTTGCAGTAAGCACATTGAAAAATGCAATGACAGACACGAATTACTGAGAATTAATAATGCCAACAGGATGGCACGCTAACAGAATTTTAGATTCACCTCAACGGTAACTGTTTTGTGCACTTTCAACANGGATGGCACGCTAACAGAATTTTAGATTCACCTCAACGGTAACTGTTTTTGCACTTAAATGAGCTTTCAACNGGATGGCACGCTAACAGAATTTTAGATTCACCTCAACGGTAACTGTTTTTTGCACTTAAATGAGCTTTCAACAAAAAAAGAAATCGCCCGTTTTTATCGTGCATTGAAATCGTACTCTTTAAAAGTTGAGCTTTTCCTTGAAAGAAAGCAAAAACTATCCTAGTCAACCTAAAACAATTAGCGACCACAAAGAAATAAAAAACGACAAAAGTAAGCAATTTAAATGCAAAGCAACGTAAAAATGGTCATAAAATTAGGCAGCCACTGGCGAGGTTGTTGTCAGTGAGTTATAAGGTGGCAAGTTGAAAGTGCGACAAGTGCACTGCAGAGACATTGCCGCTGACATCTGACGACTGACCGATGTGAAGTGGATGAACACCACATCATGGAACATTTTCAGCACTGTCCACACTGTTGCAAAAAAACGGTCGACAGACAAACTGAGGATAAGGTATTAATTGCTGCGACCAGTGGACTTCTGATCCAACACAAAAGCATTGCCAGAAAGTCATGTCGTGTCTTTTTTCTGTTAGTATTGCTTTCGAACTGGCACACTTTAAAACGTCATTAAAGTGCAAGCATAATGGAGTTATCTGACTGTAGATTTGACAGGATGGCAGAGAAGAAAACACTGACCAGAGTGTAATTACAGAGCAAAAACGAAATGAATTCAATTATCTCCTGAAATGGAGCAATAAAAACTTAATTGCATTACTTTAGATGAGATGAAATTAATCATTTCCAATTTTAAAAACTTTTGTTTTTTGATACACAAATATAATAAAAAACTATATTTTTATTTTAAATTTAAACAAAAATAATTTGAAAACAACAGCTATTTAAAATGATGACATAAAATGAAAACTTTATACTTCCAATAGAGGATTTTTTCGGAGACACGTTATTCCTGTTTTTTATTATTAGCAGAATCACTCTCTCTGATCACTTCAAATTCGGGCTGGTTAGAGATTTCCTTTCTTTTGCTGCCTTTGTTTTTAGAGAAATAGGCCTTCATGTAAAAATCGTAGAATAACCAGAAGAACAAAGGTGGCTGAGTCAGCGCAAAGTACATCCAAAATACGGGATAATTTTTCTGAAAAAGAAACATCAGAAATCCATAAAGGCCGTACAGTACGAACTGCCACAGCTGGAGAATGGTGATGTACTTCTTCCACCACAGATACTTCTGAACGTTAGGTCCAAGGGCTGCCAAAGCGTAGTATGAGTACATGATCACGTGAATGCTAGAATTTACGACTGAAAATGGGAAAAATGGTTAAGAACAGGAAAAAAAGTTGCAAAAAGTCTCTGGACTTACTGGCAAAAAGGAAACACGCTGGAAGAAGAGGATTGATGCGAAGGAGCATGTAACCAAAAACGGGCACAATTGTGTGATGGTAAACGTGAAGCAAAGTTATGTGCTCGTACTTTTTTCGAAGAACAAAGAAGAGCGTATCAAAACAGTCGGCTAGCTTGCTGAGCCAGTAACAGTAGCCCAAGTGTATCAGGTAGATAGAGTGCTCAGACATGTCATTTCGGTCTGGGTACTCAAAATCAAGCAGCACCCGAAAGTAGTTGGACATGGGAATGACCTTGTACACGGCGATCATATTGATGATGGTCATGATGACATTGTAGAGGAACATGGGCACGCGCAGATTGTACGGCTCTCGATTTTCCATTATGTGAGGGCCCAGGTACTTCACTCCAAGGACAAAGTTGAAGACGAGCCAAAGGGCGAAAAAGGGCGACACGTTCACCGGTAGCAGGTGGTGGGTGCGTGGATCGTGCCCCATGCCAATGTACTCGAAGATCTTGTCCAAATCTGATACCTTCATGGTTGGTTCGCTGGGCAGTTGAGGTGGTGTGCTCTGCAGCGCAGGATGAGGTGTCTAAAGGATGGTCTACCTGAGATCAGACAGAACGGGTAGCAGGTGAAAATGGCTCAAGTCGGCGCAAAGACATCAACGAGCAGCAGGCAGTACCAGCCCAATGGCTAGCTCAACGGCAATTGAGAAGTCGATTTTCTGCCTCTACAATAGTTATATCGCCATCATAACTACACTAACAGCGAGGTGACGGCACTTTCCTCCTCTGCCTCGTCACCGAATTCGTGAGTGACATCATCCGCCAAATGAGCCTCCTGATTGATGTCAGCACCCAGCACCTCAAACTGACCACCACTTTCCACGTCGATTCAGCTTTGCCTGACCAGACCAAGGAGATCAGATCGTAGAACATAGCACAGGCCCACCAGGAAAGTGAGACACCACTGAGATGACTTTGTGCAAGTGCACGTTTACCACGAAAGATTGGAGGTGGACAAACGGTGGAAGTAGAGTGAGTGAAGTACCTCAGTCTGAATGAGCACCAGCACTAATCAGTAGGTATTGAGGGCAATAACAAATAAAACAATTACGTTAGCGTACACTTGCCAATCGGCGGCATTGACTTGCCAGTGACTGAGCAATTTTTTTCCTTAGGAAAATTTGCCGACCCAAACTACTCACTTCATTTCAGGAAGAAAGAAGCCTTACTATGTAATTAATCAAAAGACCCTTTTGCTAATACACGTGGCTAAAATGTGCAAAAAAGAAGAAATCGAAGCGCACTAAAACTGTTTAGCTGAAAACCAAAAACCAGTTTGATTCGACTCTGGAACGACACTGAACTTTATTAAGCGTTCAAACAACGAATCAAATGTTGCTTGTGTCAAAACTAAAGGATTAAAGTTCTGAATNACAGAGAGGGTAATCTAAAAATCTCACAGAGGGCGCCAGAGGTCTGCACTCGATGGCCGAATTGGAAATGTTGTTGTGGGGATGCTTTGAAGGAAAACAAACCGGACAACCGAGAAACATCGTCCAGCAAGTGGCCAAGTACTACGAGAAGAAACGCAATGCAGGTCGTCGCAATGAGGTCAGCCAATACTCCAAGCTGGAAAGCAAGGCAACTGGTTCCCCTGTGGCATGGCACTTCTTGCCTCGCTGAATAATATGGGTCGCTTCCATTCGCTCATTTGGATGTGCTTTTCGGAATAGAAACTGTTTACTGATTTTGTCCGGGGAAAAGCACTTTTTATTAGTTGATTAATTAGTTGGACCTTTAAACCGAAGCTTGACAATGTTTGCACGAACTACCTTTTTACCGACTCTTGCTTACAACCTGCTTCGCAACCGCTGGACCTCTTGGAACTGGTACGATCGAATTGACGACACTGTTGTTCTAGGCGCTCTGCCGTTTTTAGGACCAGTTACGCAGACAGTGAGTTATTTGTAAAGTGCGTTTTCAATGCGTATCCTAAAAACATTTTTCTTTTTAGCTGCTTTCAGAGGAAAACATTCGCAGTGTTATCTCGATGAACGAGGATTTTGAATTGCGATTTACCGTTTCTAATCGTGAATTCTGGCAACGATTGGGCATTCCTTTTCTGCAATTAAATACACCTGATATTCTACACTCACCAGCCCAAGACAAGCTTGAGCAAGGCGTAGAGTTTATCTTCGACCAACAACGCAAGTTCAAAACTAGAGAGTGTGTACCTGAAAATGATCTCAATCCAGCCCTTGTTGAAGCACAAACCTTTCCGATGAACTTTGAGCTTCCTTTGAGTATTAAAAACAAGGGAATGTATTTGAAGCGAAAAGCAGAATCTGACGGTAACAACAACAGCACGCTTCAGGATCATATGCCATCGGTCTACGTTCACTGCAAAGCAGGACGAACTCGAAGTGCCACTTTGGTTGCTTGTTATCTCATCAAACGTTACGGTCTGACGCCAGAAGAATCAGTTCGATTCATGACCAGACGCCGGTCACAGGTGTTTTTGCACACCAAACAGTGGCAGGCCATTGAAGAGTACTACAAACGCAACGGAACTTTGCATCGTACTGCCAGCCAAAATTTACAAATTAAAACTGCTAATTTTGATGTCAAGTGAATTTTAAAACTTAAAAGCGCATAAATATAAAGAAATGTTACAAATGTGATTTGTGTGATCAGGTTTTTCTCGCTTTAGTCTTCAACCACTCGTGTGATTTGACTGTGGCAATGGTGAAACGTTTGCTGGGATCAAACTCAAGCATACCACACATCAGGTTAGCCAATTTGGTGCCAAACTTTTGCTTCGCTTCTTTCGCCGTCAAAACGCCTTTGGAGATCTGAGCTAGAAAAGCTGACAGCTTCTCTACGTTTCTCGGTGCTTGGTATGGAAACTTTCGTGTCAGCATTACGTAGAGGCTCACACCTAGCGACCAAATGTCGGCGGAGAAGGGCACATAGTCTTCTTGCCTGCTCTTTGTTTTACTATTCTTATCCTGAACTAGCTGAAGGCGAATTATCTCCTGAGGAGTTGAAATTAGCTTTTGATTCAAAAGTGTGCAAAACTTACTGGCGCCATGTAACTTCTAGTGCCCATAAAGTGCTTTGAGTAGAGCAGTCCAACGCCGTCCTTCCAGGCAAAGGCGGACATTCCAAAGTCGGTCAGCTTGCAGTGCTTCAGCTTACGCTTCTTCGGGTCGGACACCAGCAGAACGTTATCCAGCTTGAAGTCATTGTGAGAGATTCGATTTCGATGTAGAAACTCCAGACCGCTGCTCATCTCGGCAAAGTACCGTCGCGCCAGGTCAGTGGACAGCGGTCCCTTCTTCTCCACCTCCTTGACCATGCTGCCCGCATCGGCCACCTCCATGAAGATGTGCGCCATCATGTAATTGATCCTGGAGCCGGCCTTCTTGAAGCGCAGCACAAAGTGCTCGTAGTACTCGATGACGTAGGCGCACTTTCCGCGCAGCCCCTGCAGCATGTACAGCTCCGCCTTGAGCGACTCAAATTGCCGTCGACTGGAGCGGTCCTCGTCGTCGGGCAGCATGATCACCTTGCAGGCCATTTGGTAGTAAGCAAAGTGGTCGTCCACGGCTTTGGCGCTCTTCGGCCTCTTTCCGCCCGTCGTCGTCAGGGGGACGCACTTCTCGACGAGGAAGACGGTGCCGAAACCGCCCTGTCCTAGCTCCTTTAGCTTCCGGTAGCCCATTGAGGTGAAGAACTCGGCCGGGGTGCGAAAGGTGACCCAACTGGAGGGCTCCGCTGTACCCTCGTTCAGGTTGATCCTCAGCGGCAGCTCGATGAAGTTGATCAGCCGGTCATTGGTGATGGTGGAGAGGCGCTGGGTGAAGGCCAGCTCATTCACATTGTGCCCCTGGAAGAACTTGTGGTACTGGCTGATACGCCGCTCTCGCGGCTTGGACACGGCGGTAGGCGTTACCTCATCAGAGCTCGAGTCTTCTTCAGAATCCTCATCGCCTTGTTCAGCACTCTTTAATGATGGAAGTTGTGATGGCTTGAAGCAGTCAAAACAATGACAGAGACCCATTTGGGAGAGAGATATTGAGGTCAACACTGAGGACTAAAACAGACCTTTAAAATATGCGAGAAATGGCAACAATCAAAATAAGCCAACTTTGGAACACTGTTGAATTTTTATTGTCAATACAAAATGAGTTGCTTGGAACTTTATGCAAAGTCAGAGTAAAACATTTGTCAAAAAAGTGTATTAGGTCTCTGGTAAAGCAGGTTGAATAAAGACTGAACAATGGTAAAAGATAGTCATCACTAGCAGGATTTGCATCACCAAGGTAACAATAAAAATAAAAAGGTTTTATGTACTAGTAAAACAGTGTGAGCAACAAGCGACGGTAAAATCTCTTTGCCGGTAAAATTTGAAGAAATAGTTTGAAGAAGAATAAATGGCACCATTTAAAAACACAATAAAATTCATAATTGGTATACATTTTGGAGGCGTGAGTTCCGTCGCCCTCTTCAGTGGCACTCAATCGAGGAAAACTTGCTAAAGGGACGGAAACTCTTCATGGCGTAGACTGAACTGATCACATAGTGGACACGTGGGCTGGGCTTTGGCTTTTGTAACAATTTCAATGCACTAAAGGAAAGTGAGAACAATTAATGACAATCACTGGCACATTAAAAATAGCGCAAGTTGACGACAACTTTACCTCATTATGAAATACATGATTGCAAGAAATCAACGCCAGTTTCTTATTTTCATCGCTGACTGAATGGTCACTGACTGGGTTTTTACATAAGGCACAGTTTTGAGGCGAATCGCGCGATGAAAAGGACGAGTTGGATGCAACCGAAGAGTTGTCTTTGGCTGAGCTGAGACTTGGGGACATCACTGGAGCGTTTGAGTGGCTGCTTATGGAGGCCACTTTAGACCAGGAAACACCTTTTTTATCTTTAGTTGAATCGTACGAAATATTCATATTGGGATTTGCCTGGAATCAGAAAAGTGGATTTTTTAATGACAGCGAACTTCAAATTAAAACTTTGGCTTCAACTTACATTATCACATATGTGCTCCACAATGAACCTGACCAAGTCTTTTATCTTGAATCCTGAAAATCCGTATTGAGTGTGACCCTTTTTCATGATGGCGTATTTTGACTGTATTACCAGCTCAACTAGCTGTTTACTAAAAGAATAATCTAATGTGAGAAAATGTTATGTACAAGCAGTGATGAACTTACATTGGTAAATTAGGAAAGTGCTTTTTAACTCTGGCCACTAGTTTATTGAAGGACTTATTTGCCATCAAATACTCTGAATTTTCAAAAACAACTGGCCCGGTTAATGATTTAGTCAACTCGGTGTCCACGATTATTTCCAACGTGTGCCGATTAGGGGACATGTAGTAAGCTCCATTATTCTTCGGTCGAATTTTTGTCGCAAAAGCGACAATCGGACCTTGAAAATTGAGCATATTGTGCTTTACTGGGTAGTAGTGTGGCATGTACACCGAAGGCTCAACCTTCAAGTTGTTTATATGACTAAAGACTGGAGGCACATTGCTGCTAAAGCTGGATTGTCGTGACATGGTCCAAGAGCTCAAATCCATCTCACTTTCGATCATTTCTTGAAAGTCTGAAAGCAAATTACAACACATTTTTACATTTTTTAATGTCGTTAGTTTCAACTTACAATTCAACTGCTCATTATCTTTATTGTTATTCATGTCCTTACTTTCAGAAATTGGCGTTTCGTTTCTAAAGTCGGTGCCAGTGTCGTCGTTGAGAGCTGAATCCTCTTGAGCACTTGTTTTCAGATGTTGATGGTGCAGAAAATTATCAGCTGGAGGTTTTTTGTTGTACTTGTCAAGCTCGTCGATCAAGTTGCGGTATGCCACAAACAACGGGTCAGTAGGATTGCCACTCTTGGTATTCACCAATTTTGATTGTTCAGATATCAAAGGCAAGTTGTTTAAAATTTCATTGGGCACAGAATAAATAATACCCTAAAAGAAGAAATAGTGTTAAAGATTGAAAACATTTTTAACTCATACAAATTCTCACCCTATAAAACCTGACCAAGTTCAAGAAGTTGATGTTATATTTTTCTGTATACATCTCACTTAACATGTTGGTTATTTTATTCTCTACTTTCATGACATCTTCTTGCGCAATTGTCGATCCATTGGCTGTTGAAAATGCAATATTTTTAATTGCCAATGAAAAAACATCAAAATGATCGCTTAGGCCACTTTGTTCTTGCTTGAAAATTTCAAAACTGTCATTAAAAATTGTATATATCTTTTGAAACAGTTGCAGCTCTTCGAGAGTAAATGTTGATGCTTCAAACTTTTTTAAATCCTCTTGTAACATAGCGGAGAATTCGTTGAAGTTTCCATAGCACAGTTTTACATCTCGCGAAAGCATCAGCTTAAAGTTAAAGTAGTTATTATAAATTCAACATCACAGCTATTACAAACATACCTTGATATACTTTTCAAAAAACACCAATATTTTACTCACTGAAGAGCCACGACTTTTATAATTTTTCTCGAGCCAGCTTGTCAAATTATCGTGGTTTTCATTTGAATCAAAAAGCTTTTTTACATATTCAAATCCGTCGACATCCATTTTGTTTTTTTCATCGAGCCCAGTCTCACTATTGTTGCTTTCAGCAGGTGGGCACCAAGTTTCAGGCGAAAAAGTAATTGGGTCCGACGTGATTGATGACGGCCATGGCAACATTGTACTTGGTAAGTTTGATCTTGATTTTGTCGTCGAGTTTGATGCACTTTTATCTAAGCTTACAAAATCATTATTGTGGCCATTTTGGTTGGTGCTGAAAAAATCGTGATGATGCCAAATATTTTTTGAGTTGCTTTGACTTTGAGCTTCAAAAGGATTGTCACTTTTGTTATCGATGTGTCCATTTGTCAAACCCGAGCCAATTTCGCCAACTGAACTTTTTTTAACTTGATTTTCTGCAACATCACTGAAAGGGAGGGCTTTTTGACGACCAAACATTTCCTCAAACATACTTGAAGTTGAATTTTGATTATGAGCGCTCTTTGATTCCCAAAGTGAACGGTTTTGCAAGTTGTTTTGAAGTAAATTATGCGGTAATGGTTGCCCAAAGTTGTCGTTGGAAGAAAGATTGTCTATGTTGCTGAAGGATGAAAACACAGAAAAAGATTGGGCGCTTTGAAATTGTGTCGACAGTCTACTGAGCCCCGAATTATTCAGTGAAGAGAAGCAAGATGCATCAAATTTGGCTCCATCGTTGTTCATCAGATCCCGATTTGCTTTCGGGCTGTTGTCTGTCAGTATTTCCAAGTTCTTTGGTCGACTAACCGGTGTGTGATCGTTCACCATTGTGTAAAATTTCAGGATAAGATCTTCCCAAGTTGTTTGCCTTTTGAAAGAAGTTGTAAAAATTCAAAGTTCTCCTACTGTAAAAGTTAGATAAAAACTATATGAACAATTAGTAATGATGGCATTAATTAAGAGAGTATGAACAGTTAATTAAATAAACCTCTAATTACTTTGGGTTCGATGAGCAGCGTTCATCAAGTTGAATTGGCTCAGGTAAGGGCACAATATTGCTATTGGCACGTGCAGTGTTGACTGCTGTTGTGTCTGCAAACACTGTTGTGAATTTATTTCGAAGGGCTTTCCATAGAAGCTGTTTGGCTATATGCTAATTTGCATATTGGCGCCAGACTGAATTTGGATGGTAACCAGGATACCTGACTGAAATGCAAAGGTAAAAGGCCTGGCTTTTAAATTGGTTGCGCAATGGCTTTTTTTTATACTGCGATAACAATTGCGCCTCTGGCGAATCGCCATGCCAACTCTTATCATGTCAACCTTTACGGCTGTCAGTTACACTGTCACCTTACACAGATTTAAAATTCGAATTAAAAATCACAACTTTCAATTATATAGGCAAGACAATGAGAGCTGCACAATCATCTAACCAAACCCTTTTTCACAAGCAATGTCAAACTCCGAGAGTGCCAAAAGTAGGAAGAGGAAGCAAAGCGAGTTTATGCGCAAGTTCAACCTGGCGCTGAAGCAAATGGACGGAGATGCCGAGGGCCAGAAGAGGAAACAGAAAAAATACACCTGCTCTCAGATGGTCATGGACGCCGCCCGAGTGGTGCAACTGTACGTGCACGTACTAATTTGCGCTCTCTTGGTTCTCCTCTCCGTGCGCTACCTCAGCTACTACCGAGTGGCACTGCAGGACTTTAGCTTGAAGGACTTTCTGCCACATGATAAGCTGGTAACGGTGCTGCAGCAGCAGCCTCAACTCAGGGAGCAGGCACTCATTGCAGGGGAAGGGGAAAGTAAACTAGAGAGTCCCTGGGTCATTCTCTCTATCGTTGCCTTTCTGCTCGTCTTTCTCATTTCCGGCACGTTTTTGCTTCTGCTCCTCTACAAGCGAGGCTACTCGCACTCAATAAAGTGCATCTCTGCCGGGCCCTACCTTCTCTACCTGGCCATATTCCCTCTGGTCTACCTCCAGGAGCTAATTTACACTTTGAACCTGGCAGTTGACTGGCTGACAGTGCTACTCTTTCTCTACAATCAAACGCTTACTGGTTTCTTGGTGCTCTTCTACTCTGGACCGAAGTGGGCTAAGAGAATCTTCTACGTGATCATCAGTTCAATGTTGGCCTTGTTTCTCGTCAAGTTTATTAATCAGTGGATAGAGATTGGCCTTATGCTGACGCTAATTGTCTGGGATCTGTACGCTGTCCTTCACTCTAAAGGTAATTTTTCTTGTAAGCTTTGATGCTTATTTTGAGTTTCCTGCATTACAGGTCCACTGAACCAGCTGTTGACTACACTACAGAACACCAAGGGAGGCGATCTTCCGCCGGTAGTCTTTCAGATGAGCCTCAGTCAACCGGACAACAACAACAATCAAGTAGCACAAGCTGCAAAGGCGAAGCGTCACAAGATCTTCTCGCTGTCATCAGCAGCTCCCTTGGGGGAACGCTTTGAGCTGGGCCTGGGCGACTTTATTTTCTACAGCATTCTGGTGAGCAAGTCGTTCACCTACGCTGGCCCACTCGGTGCCACCTGCACTGTCCTCTGTCTGCTGATCGGTCTTACCCTCACAGTGGCCGTACTGATTTTGTTTGGGCAGGCAATACCGGCCATTCCGATTCCGGTAACTCTCGGGTTGATAGCCCAACTGGCCACCTCTTACCTCTTTATTCCGTTTTCCATCGAGCTCAACTCGGAAATGATTGTTCTCTGAGAGGGGGAAAAATGTTCTAAATAGAACTTTATCTTTTTCATAAAAATCTATCCAAATAAACCTTTTTGGGCACACTTATCAGGACTGCTAAAATGTTTGTTGTTTATTTGCTGCGAAACTTAACTTTGTGTGTCCTTTTAGCATCCACACTACTTGCTGATGATACTACCAAGCCAACGTCTACCAAATCGGTAAGTGTTTTGCTAATAACTTGTTTTCTCATAAATTCATTACCTTTTGGTGTTGCAGACGTCCACCGTGTCGTCGACTGAAGCTCACCGGAACGCCACTACTGAGAGTGGTGATGGAACGGCAAACTACGACCAGCACTCGCCGGTGGTCCTGCCCGTGTGGTCGCAGATTGTCATACTGCACCTGATTGCCGGCCTGCTGGCACTCATCTTTTACCTGCTTCGAGAGTACGTCATCTCACAGCTAAACCAGAAAGCGGTGGAAAACCCAACCCGAATGACTCACCGTCGCAAGCAAAAGTCGCCTGATTAAGTGGCCCAGTATCTGATCAAACTGCAGAGGCAGATAGTAGTTTATTGCAAAACAAGGGAGTGATGATTAAACTGCTGTACTTCAACCGAAATGGTTCCCGCGCGGCTGACTTTTGATAATGCTGGTGCTGTGTTGGACTACTGCAATTACTCCTAAGAGGTGGCGTGATGTGAGAGTAACGGCAACAATAAACACGTCAGATTTGTTTCGCCGCTGATGATATCACACACACATCTCTGTGATGTGGTCTGTTTTGTTTTGCCGCCCTGGAACTTCTACTTTCTCCCTATGATCTGCAATAGTAGCTTACAGCCTATATACTAGTTGAGTGATCACCTCGCACAATCATGAAGGCCCTAATTCTAGTCGGCGGCTACGGTACTCGCCTTCGACCGTTGACGCTATCGCTGCCCAAACCTCTGGTAGAATTCTGCAACAAACCGATGATTCTCCACCAGATTCAAGCGCTCGTCGATGTAAGTGAACTTTGTCGTTACTCCTTTACATCAACGTTCTATAACACTAGCCACCTGGTTGCAGTTTGGCGTCAAGCACGTAATCCTGGCCGTCAGCTACAGGGCAGAGCTGCTAGAGCACCAAATAAGAGCATATGAAGACAAAGTAAGCTTACACCGTTGCAAAGACACGAAAAGCTAATTGTATTTTAATGACTGGTGAAAAGCTTGGAATTCGGATAACATTCAGCCTGGAAGACGAGCCCCTGGGCACTGCTGGACCATTGGCGCTGGCAAGCAAGTACCTCAAAGAAGACGATGCTCCATTCTTTGTGCTCAACAGCGACATAATTTGCGAATTTCCCTTTGAGGCGCTCTACAACTTTCATAAGAGCCATGGGCATCAAGGCACTTTGGTGGTATGTTCAACACAGGGATTCTCATTTTGGTTTATGTATTCACTGTGCTTTTTATGGCGTTTAGGTTACGAAAGTTGAAGAACCATCCAAGTACGGCGTGGTAGTGTACGACACAAAAGGGCAGATTTCAAGCTTCGTTGAAAAGCCTTCTGAGTTTGTCTCCAACAAAATTAACGCTGGCATCTACATTTTTGAGACATCAGTTTTAAACCGCATTGAGGTAAAAGTAGATAATCAAAGAATATTCGTAGCTGACAATCTCTGCTTCAATCTCTTTTAGCTTAAACCGACCTCGATTGAAAAGGAAGTGTTTCCAAAGATGGCCACTGATGGTGAGCTATTTGCGTTTGAGCTGAACGGCTTCTGGATGGATGTCGGCCAGCCAAAGGACTTTATTGTGGGCACTGGCTTGTACCTCAACTCGCTGAAGGCCAAAAGCATGCTAAACACGCCAAACACCGAGTGCATTGTGGGAAATGTGCTGATTGACCCTACTGCCAAACTGGGCTCCAACTGTCGCATCGGGCCAAACGTCTCCATCGGTGCCAATGTGGTCATTGAAGACGGCGTTTGCATAAAGCGGTGCACCATTATGGCTGATTCGGTCGTCAAGTCGCATTCCTGGCTCGAATCGTGCATCATTGGCTGGAAGTGTCGCATTGGCAAATGGGTATGACAAATAAATAGCTTTCAGTTTGTTCAATATATCTCACATTTGATTTATCTCTTTAGGTGAGAATGGAAAACAACTGCGTTCTCGGCGAAGATGTTGTCGTCAACGATGAGCTCTACTTGAACGGAGTGAAGGTTCTGCCAAACAAGGAGCTCTCCAAGTCTGTTGCCGAGCCCAGTGTCATTATGTGATACATTTGCATCTTCTCCCGTTGCCTACCAGACCTTATTTATTTTCTCCCTCTTAAAGTCTTCGTCGACATTTGAGCAAGACCCTGCTTTGTGGCATTCCAGTAAAACCAATTCGGCTGTTATTATTTTTTCCTAAACACAACTCTAGGACTCCAACTTCTTTTTCAAGTTCTTTTCCAAATATCCATTTTATATTTTTTTACCGCGTTTATACACTTGCATTTTTATATAACTGTGCTGAGCTCCTTTTATCAGCATCAATAATAATCTGCATGTTTTTCCAATTCAATCGTCTGATTCTTTTCAAGCAAAGATGCTTGCATTTTGGCAGTTCCGAAGAATCCCGGCGGTGGCGCTTTGAATCCGCCGTACTTTGCGAATGGGCCTGCAAGCGATTGCGGAAGCACATGCCACTGATCAGTGGACGGGCCACAAGTGTTGCAGAAGGTGCAGCACACGCGAGGCTACATAAGCGCCTGGCCATGTGACCGGCGGATTCATATGCTGACCTTCCTCAGGACAAGCAGGTCCTAGCTCAACTCTTTACCATGCTGCAAGGTATGTGCCCATCACTTTATATTCTTTCACCTCTGCTCTTCTGATGATTGTATTTGCTACTCTCGAGTCAAGTCGATGACGAAAATCTACACCACATTCCACTGATCTTTTCTCATTTCATTTGCCATGTTCTTTGATTTAATGTGAGTTCTAATTATTCTACTTTTGGTTTGCAGATCGTTGACGAGGTTTCTCATCGAGGTCCACACCGGTAAGTGTTTCTTTTGTCGGTTTAGTTGCTCGCTTTTCTACCGTTTCTGATGAGAAAATAGTTCATCTGAAAGCATTAATGATATAAAAGTACTATTACTATGTCTTTCGCTCCTATCTGATACTTGAAAAGCAACCTTTTATCCCTCTCTTCCGGTTTTGTTGTGCATATTTCTCACCCACGTGTTCTCTTTTCANATGATATAAAAGTACTATTACTATGTCTTTCGCTCCTATCTGATACTTGACAAGCGACCTTTTATCCCTCTCTTCCGGTTTTGTTGTGCATATTTCTTACCCACGTGTTCTCTTTTCAGGATTGCGCACTTCCGACGGCATGGCTCTGTCTTCCTGTCTGAAGACGGAATGAAAATAGTAAGTGGTGCTTTCTCTTTGAACCTTCTCCTCGTTAGCCTTTCATGATGAGCCTACACCAAGATCTTTGATCAACCATGATTTCATTATTAGCTCTACCTGACGCTCTCATCTCATTTGCCTAGTGCCTACAAAGTTTTTCAACTTATTAATTGCGACCATTTAATTTTTCAGGTTTCACTGATGTGTTTACTGGAGCCCTGATCATTCGATACGTCCTCAAAGGTCAGTTTCAGTATATTCTGATAGTTTACTTATCTTTCGAAAGTGATGATTTCTAAAATAGTGGGAATCTATATGAATGCTCTTATGACTTCAGTACTTTTCTATTACTTCTGAACTCTATTCTAAATCACTTTCAAATTCACTTCATAAACGCGTGACTAATCTTAGTTTTTACTTTTACAGGTAAGCGTCTTCCTTCAATGCAACCAGTTCACCAACCCAAGCCAAGCCAAGCTAAATGATGATCCGATTTTGCCAGATGAGCGAAAGCTCTGAAATTAACCCAAAATCAAGCCCGTATTTTCTTCTTTCTGACACCGCTTATTTTTTTGTTTCTTATGATTACTTCGAGTATATTTCCTAACTCAAGTTTATTTTGCAGAACATGGCTGCGAAGAGGCTTCTGGTTTGCACTTGCAATCAGTGCACCTAAATCGGTGAGTTCAGTTAGGTGGTGGTTTTTGTAGTTGTTTAATTTTATGATGAGTTTTAAAATGTAGGTTAAAGGGACATATGAATACTTTCATGTTTAGACTTCCTATATACTGATCAATTAGACAACTCCATTTTTATCTTTAGTTTGCAGTATCATTGTTCTAAATTGTGTATTTCTCGATTCTAGGTTCACCTTTAGAGCTTGATTTGGCAAGCACCATTTGGAATTCCCTTGAGCTTTCAGGTAAGCTTTGGTCTCAATTATCTTTTCCTTAGTTGTCCTGATGAATGGTTTAGTTTGATTACCATGATAGTAAAACAAACTAATTAATGAGTGAATTTCTTCAACTGATATCTTATCCTTTCTTCTTTCTCCAACTGTCATTACAAAATTGTCCTAACATCTTTGTGTTTTTACAGGATCATCTAAAATCGGCCGCTGCATCTCGGACTTGAAAGTAAAGGTTAGCACTTACTTCCAACAGTAGTCCCCTTTCTGGTTTCTGATGACCAAATGAAGTTAGTGAAGAAGTGTCCATTGGGCACTTCGGCATTGATCAACTCAAATTTTTCGTCAACTGATCACCACTTGAACTACTTTCACCCACTCCCTTTTTGTATCACAACTTCTAACCACTTGTATTACCTTTTTCCTCTACAGATTATCTGTTTGTTAATAAATTCTTTAAAAAGTTATTCACTTTATTCGTGCGTTTTGTGTACAGAGTTTGTCTGAATTATGATAAAAAAATAACTGGTCATAATCACAATGAGTGATTACTCTGGTTTAGGCTGCATGTTTGAAATACTGGTCATTGCTGCTGTCGTTGAATTAGGCTGACTGATGATTCCATTGAGTTCTCCTTTGGAAACCTGTTACAAAGATGAGCAATTAAAGGGTGGTCAAATTAAACTGCACCAACAAACCTTTGCTTCTAAATACTCGATTGTTCTCTCGAGAGTCGTCAACTTTTCGTTGAGCAGTGCCAAACGTCCTCGACAAGACCGATCTAAAGGAGAAGAGATTGTCAAGTTGATGATTAACAAAACTGGCATTTCCGGTAGTTACCAAATGAATTTAAGAAATCGGCAATCTTCTTGATGCTGCCAGTAATAATTTCAATGTACTCTCGATTCGCCCAATCCTGCTGTATCATTCGGTTGACGTCTTCATTCTGAAAAGCTGCCATGTTTGTGTTCTTGATCTAAAAGATGATCACCGTTTAGCTGAGAAATTGAAAAAGGCGTAAAATTCCGAGATGATCAGATGAGATGATGTTTTGAAAATCAAAACATCTGCAGCTCATGCCCGAAACATTGCCCATGAGTGGCTTAAATTCTTCGGAAAGTCTTCTCTGTACTGCCATGTGTGAAGCAGCTCCGGCACACGTGCTTCTGTTGGACAAGAACTTCTGTTGGGAAAAATCAGTGTTGCTGTCGGCATTTTTGTTTTTCTCAGCATCATCTGATTCTTGACAAGCATTCATCGATTGACCACTGCTCTGAAGATGCAATTCGACAGTAGGTTAAACACTAATTTGGGCTTTTGTTTTGCTGTAACGATCAATTTTTCTTTCTCATTTTAGGCGAGAAAAAGACCAAGAAGAAGAAGAAGGGAGCCGAGCTGACTGAAGCCGATCTTGATGTAATTTACTTCAGTAGTTTATCTTTTCCAAATAATTTGACATTTGATTTAACATGTAGGAGATTCACCGCAGTAATGATTTTGCACTAAAGTCTCAGGAAAAGGCAGCAGCTTTGCCCACAGACAAATGGCCTCTTTTACTCAAGGTATGTTTTTGTTGTCTTGTGTTTGTTTTTGGCTCAACATTTTCTTTTGCGTTGATTCAACAGAACTTTGACAAACTAAATGTCCGGACTTTCCACTTTACCCCACTGCCAATGGGATGTTCCCCGTACAAGCGTGAAATTCGCGAGTACCTGCGATCAGGATTCATCAACCTAGACAAGCCGTCAAATCCTTCATCTCACGAAGTTGTGTCATGGGTTAAGCGTATTCTACGAGTCGACAAAACTGGCCACAGTGGAACGCTAGATCCCAAAGTTTCTGGTTGCCTCATTGTCTGCATCGACCGAACGACTCGCCTGGCGAAGAGTCAGCAGAATGCAGGCAAAGAGTACGTTGGCATCTTCCGCTTGCACTCTAGCCCATCTGGCGGAACTGCGGCCGTTCAACGATGTGTTCAGCAACTGACTGGAGCCCTCTTTCAGCGGCCCCCACTGATTGCCGCCGTCAAGCGACAGCTTCGTATTCGCACCATCTACGAGAGCAAGCTGTACGAGTTCAATGAGAAGAACAATCTCGGCATTGCGTGGGTCAGCTGCCAGGCTGGAACGTACGTGCGAACACTCTTCGTCCATTACGGTCTGGTGCTCGGTGTGGGCGCACAAATGGTGGAACTTCGCCGAGTCCGTTCGGGCATTCAGCACGAGTCAGAAGGTTTGATCACGATGCACGACCTTGTCGACGCCATGTACCTCTTTGATCATCACAAGGACGAGTCGCTGCTGCGTCAGGTAATTAAGCCGCTGGAAGCACTTCTCGTTGGACACAAGCGAATCATCGTGAAGGACACTGCAGTTAATGCCATCTGCTATGGAGCCAAAATTATGCTGCCCGGCGTGCTGCGATTCGAAGACGGCATTGAGCTCAATGAAGAAATTGTTATTGTCACCACTAAAGGTGAAGCTGTTTGCCTGGGTAAGCTTTAATTTTCAGCCAAATGAAATGGACCTGATTAACTTACACTTTGCTTTTAGCAATTGCTCTCATGACCACTTCTACCATGGCTTGCTGCGATCACGGCATCGTGGCCAAAATTAAGCGCGTGGTAATGGAGCGAGACACCTACCCACGAAAGTGGGGCCTAGGTCCTGTGGTAAGTTTTTGTACAGTTTTGTTTGAGCAACTTGTTTTTAACTTCCAGCTGTTTGTTTTTAGGCTGCACTAAAGAAAAAGCTTATCAAGGATGGTTTCCTTACCGATAAGGGCAAACCTAATGAAAAGACACCAAAAGAGTGGTTTGCAAAGATCGGTGCCTCCGAGGACGCTGCAAATCAAAATCAGGCTAAAAAGTTCAAAGAAACACTGGCAGAAGCAGTTGATGAGGAGGCTGTCGAGGAAGTGGAAGAGGCTCCAGTAGAGAAGAAGAAAAAGAAGAAGAAAGCTAAAGAGGCTGTTGAAGAAGAAGAAGAGGAGTGAGTTTGTGAACCTTATTGGGCCTCGCTGTGTTTCCTTCTCGATCATCTGTGTACTTCTTTTACATTATCTACATCATATTCGCTTTTTTATATTGCATTATTTGCAGGAAAAACCCATTTTCCTTATACCATTTTCGTGAACACAAGCTCCATCGCAGGTTCTATTAATCATATAAATGTATTTTTTTTACTTTTAAAAAATGAGAAAAAGATTTCGAGATTCTTGTTGTGGAATGCTTAGGATGAGAGGGAATGGAGCGCATTCATCTGTAGACGTCACTGGGCAGGTGAGTAAAGTTCTAAACATGAACTTTGGCAAAAACTGACTTGGTGGAGAATTACGTCAGTTAACAGATGTTCTTCAAAAAGGTGGTTTAGTGATTCTTTGTCGTCTTGTGGTAGCGGAACGACGTCACCGTTGGAGCTGACGTAGCATCTGCGAAGTAGCATCACGTCACAGTCTGGTCGTCTTCGCTGACTTCAGTCAGTCCCTTCCACGGTGAGATGTCAATCAAAGCACTCACAGCAGACACATCACCAGCCTACTTTCCCACTGTGAACTCACTTGGCAGTGGTAGAATGCACTCAAAGTTCCCCTTTCTCTCTTTCTCTTTTTCTTAAGCTTGTACTTAATTCCGGTGATTGTTCACTCACCGCAGCAATCAGGATGACAGTTTCATTTGGTTTCACGCACACACTGCAGAATGAAACATTGCTTCTCTGCACAAGTGCTAATCTTTGTCTGCAAAATTCTTTCATTGATAAGAATTTTGTAGGAAATAAAACGTGCTATAACACTGTGTTGAGCAATGATTTCAACTATGCTTGCCGTTTGAGCTAATTAATTTTGTTTGTAATACTTTCAAACAGTTTTTACCAAGATTCTTCAAAATGTCAATTTGTCCATTTTAGTCTCCCATGACTCTCAATGCAGCCAATAGAGGGCGTACCAACATTGTTAGTTTTATTTTTTAAATCTTAAAACAGCTGAAATATTTTTATTGATGAACAAAATGGTCATCAATACTATCATACCTTTAATTGAAATTGCATCGAAATTTTACTGACTTTTTCTTTAAAATATTCTTGAGAAGAATTGATTGTTCAACTGTTTGATTTTTAATAAAAAGTTTGAAATAAGAAATTGATTCGGCGTATTTGGAAATATATTCTTGATAATGAAACATCATTTGCATCATTACAAGTCATAAACTTTCAGTGTTCGATTGTTCTTCACGCTTTGCTCATCACTGAAAAAACTGGTGTTTTTCTAGTTATAACTTGTGGTTAGTAGCCTTGTTTAATGCCTTTATTTGCATCAGTTACTTTACCGGTAAAGTCAGTGAACGTGAATTGAAGTAAAAATGAAAAACAAAAGTTGGCAATTGTGATGGTGCACTAATTTTGCAAAGGTTGTACTGCACTGCTTGCCCACATGGCTATGATATACTTTTCTCTACTCTGCTTCGTCTGGCTCCAATATCGTTGGCAACAGCCTCGCTGTCTGGTTCTGTGCAAAATGGCTGCTAACATGCTTGAAATTTTGCATATTTCCAACACTGTATTTTTTAAAACGCTGGTGACCATTAAGTTATTGAAACAAGATTTGGGCTGTAATTAATACATTACTTTAACTTAGATCTATAAACTTTAACACATTAAAAACTAAAATTTAAAACTCAGCTATAAAATTCAAATAACTTTTAAAACAATAAAGAAAGCATAGTCTGACTGTTTAATTTATGACAAAAACTGAAACATTTTATCAAATAGAGGTTTCTTTTTGTTAAATGGATTACTACCACTACTTAGTAAAGGGGCAAAGGTATAGGCGGCAAGTGTCGATATCCTCAATATTGCTCTTTTATGTTGATGCGGCCATTTGCACTTATAGTCGGCTCAATTCACGCTCCCCTGTCTAATGAGTGCTTCGCTCGCCAGACACAACAAACCATTAGCGAAGACCACAAAGACATTGAAAGGATCGATGCAGTGGCATCAACTGCGGCATCTGCCTTACGCCGGCAATTACCGGCGCGGTGCAACCTATGGAGACAGGAGTTGGCAGTGATTCAATTAGAAGGTTCTCTCCCACTCACCTGTTGCTCTGTTTCGGGCAGGCAGTGGTGGCGGAGACAGCCACTGGCGAGCATTTCTATCAATTATATGCTAAGCATCGCTGTGGTTGCCCAGACCACTCTTTTCCACTCAGTACTCAGTCCATTTTGCCCAGAGCAAAGGGTGTGGTAGGAGGTGGTAGGGTGCACAGTGGCTGAGGTATTGGCAATTGGAGCGACTGTTCGATTCGAATTCACCAACTGAGTTGATGAATTATTGCCACTGCCATTCACTCCATGCCTCCCTCGATGACAACCCTTACTTACTGTCTGTGGTTTCTTTTCCCCCAAATAGCTTTAGCAACGCCAAATCTCTTCTATTCTATTTTGCCTAAAGCTGATAGATTGCTCTGTTCCATTGCTTTTGCCCATTTGCCACCAGACTTTTATTGCTTTTTTCTACAATGTCTTTTTTGTAGCAACAAAAGTGAATGCACTTCAACCACTTGTTTGCTTAATCAAATTAACTCTAGCAATTTCATAACTAATAATTTATCAATAATTATTGTTCTTGTCAATTTTAACTTCAACAAATCTGGCAATTTGTCTAAGATAGTTTGTTATTTCTCGACAATGATATCAAATAAAATAATAATTTTTTATTAGATTTAAAACTAATAATTTTTTGTTTTAGTAGTTGAACAAGCTTAGATTTTTGTAAATTTTCCACAGTCAAAATAGCTTACTAGTTTGCATTACCACTATTAGTAGGTATTAAATTTCACGGTGCCACTAAGCTAGTTACGCGTTAAATCAGTTTATTTTTGCAACTTCACCATTTTCATGTGCTCTTTGATCACAAGTGTACACCTACAAAGCAAGATATTGTGCCTACATGGAACAACTCAATGGAGCAGTTTTCTAATCGCTTGTTTTATTTTAACGTATGCTGTCTTTTTGATATTTGTTGATAATTTGTTCGTTCATGTTTTGCTTTTTAGTTTTTCACTCGTGTCTTGATACAAGCGTCAGTTTTTTGTTTGTTTCAATAGCGAAGGTGAAAGTTGCTTATCAGCAAAATCTTTATCTCAAGGTAACACATAGCACATGATATCACAGGGTATTGCCGCACTGGAAAAGTATAACCAACTAATATGCATTATTGATACACAAAATATTTTTAAATTTTACTTTTAAAAAATTGGATTGTTTTTACCATTTAAAAGTTGTCAAAAGACACTAGTGACACTTTCCACTATAAATAAGTGTTTTTGTGAATCATGTTCAAATTTATTTATTTTTCGTTTTTCGCACGCTTGCGTGTGACCAACTTTCATAAAAAAACTTATCTTCGTATACAGTTTATCAGTTGTAGTGTCGTATTTATTGGAGTAATTCATTTTTATGCAGCTAATTGTGGTTTGCCTTTGGTCAGCTTTTTTGGTTTATCATTAAATTAGTTTATCAGCAAAAATGTTTTATTAACGAGATTTTTTATCAATCAGGCAAACTTTTTTCTTAAAATAAACCAATGAACTTGACTTTTATCAAGAGGATTTAGCATGAACTAAGCATTTTTAACGTGATAACTTTTTCTAACAAGCTATAAAAATATGTGAACAAATTAAATAGTTGTTAAAAATGCCTCAAGATGGAGTGTTTTTACAAACTCAAAAAATAAATCTAACTAAAAATGCTCTCAATCATAAAATTAAACTCTTTTTTTTGCTGAAATTGTTTGATCAGTGTTTAAGCTGTACTATTTTCCAATTCTGACCTTAGCTACTGAATTAGTAGCTTCTGATTTTTAATCAGATAACTTGTTACCTCATTTTTAGTAGACAAAAAAGAAAAACAGGAAGAATCGGTTAGCTTTTGACATTGACACAGTCTCAAGCCGATTGCACTGGTTGACCGTAACCCTTCTTTGCTTTCAATTTACGAACATTGCATATTTCTTAAGTTTGCTCACCAAACACTTGTCTATTGTTTAGCTGCCTTTATTTACTTTAGATTAATGTTTACCATCATGTTCTTTTAACTGGCTACAAATGCAATGCTTCTGTGTCTCTCCACGTGTAATCATTAGGTATGTATCTCTGCCCACTGATCGACTTGATCTGCAACCAAGCGACCCAATCAGAATCAGTAATCACAACCAGCACCCCCGACACTGTGGTCGAACAACCGCATTGACTGGCGTGTCTAGCCAGCTTAGTTGTTGCACAATCTGTCGCCAACTTTGGTCGTCTTGCCGCCCGACTACTAAACACTTGAGGTACCACTTTAATACCCGATCTTGTGGTCACAGATTGCTATCTAATGGCAGTGCTGAGAAAGGAGAACTAGTGCCACAGGTAATCAGCAGTCTGATAATGATAGACTGTTTCAATTTAAATGTACACAACTTTATATGCATATAAATGTTTATCACTTTCCAGAACTGGTCACGTTTAGACGCTTGTTGTATCCTTGTTTATCTGGTCTGGCTGTGTCAGAATCTTAATCTTAATCAGAATCTTGATCTTAATCAGAATCTAAACCACTTGTTCTCAATTGTGGCTCACTGCTCCAGTGCATCAGCATATTTTTCTGGTGCCTTTATGTTTATTTACTTATGACAAAAAATGTACTTTTTAAGAATTCTTGTTTTAGATGAATTAAAACTTAAATAGCCACTTTTTTGCTAAATTTTCATTATAATGTTTATATTATCACTATTTGTGAGTTTTTAAATTATAATTTTTATTCAATTTAGTTGCATTTACACTAAAAATATAAAACAGTTGTAAAGAAGTTATTTAACGCTCACTTTCCGTCAAACTAAGAATCACCGTCAGTTGTCACCTAACTCTCACACAGGCTAATGTCTTCCTAATCGCATTTATCAAGCAGACAGATGTTTGTAAATAGAAGTAAGACTTGACTGCCAGCAGGCTCAAGT